GATGACTGTGATTTGCCTTCCACTCACGAAATTGTGAGAAGCATCGGAATGCAGGTAAGAAGTCCTTGCAGCACAAAAAAAACTCATGTATTTCCCAACTCATTCTCCTGAGTTCATATTTCTTCCCATGTCTTCTTCACATTAATCTCTGGGACCTGAGGGGGCGGGCATTGGAAAAATTGGATTTCTGGTGCTCCACTGGTATGAGGGAGGCAGGCTGAGAAACCTGCAGATCTTGGGGGAGAGCTCCATAAAAAGCCTGCAGAAAATCAGAGGTGCTTGTCACAAGGTGTTATCAGCACAATGGGAATGAGCTATTTAATTGACTTTCAGGCTGCATAGCCTGTGTGACTCTTTACTACCTGCATCAAGCAATGGATTCTGCAATTATATTTTATTTTCCATGTTCACAATGTTGTCTTTCAATCTGTTGTGACCCACCATGATATGAATCCTAATAAAATAAAAATAAATACAAGCTAATAAACTTGCCTCCCCAAGTCCTTTTACATCTACAAACATGTCTTCTGTTCTCTTCCTCCACTACCAACACCTGCCCTGAAAACCTGGGGCATGGAATGAGCTAGTACCACTCACATATATAAACTTTTGAGAATATCTAGGTTAATTTATAGTAATCACATGTCTTGTTTTCCCCCTAGAATACCTATATGGGGTTTCTGGACTACCGAAAACAAACAATCCGAGATCTTGGCATAAGTCCCAGCACATGTTCCTTTAATCCTGGTGTCATTGTTGCAAATATGACGGAATGGAAGCACCAACGAATCACAAAGCAATTAGAAAAATGGATGCAGAAAAATGTAGAGTATGTATAAACAGTGCACACTCTCTCTCTCATATCCTTCCTGGGTCTGGTGTGGACTAGCATACACACTTCAAATTCTCTGCTTGGTGTTCACAGCAGGCTAGCTTGGGTGTTATGCTTGCGCCAGCAATACGCTCAGCGTTTGAATGGATCATTAAAGGTGATCAATGTGATAGCTTTCTCATATGCACCCTAGGAGGATGGTACGCTACCTACAAGTTGTAGGCTGGATCGGTTCTGATGTTTTTTTGTTTTTGTTTTTAAATCTCAGTATCATCACAAAAAGCCCAGTTTTCAAGTCAATGATGTAGCAGACTAAAGCCACCCCAGGGTATTGTCTAAAGGCAAATGAGGTCACCAGCTTCCTGAAGCTAAGCAGGTCTGGGTCTGGTTCCAAGATAGAAGAGAAGCAGGTTATAAATGCAAGAAAATTAAATCAGCTTCCTTTTGGAAGAAAGGAATATGCTCAGAGAGCTTATCAATGATAGCATTTATACTTTCATGTAATATTCCAGACTTGCAATCTTAAATTAAAAGGAATCCTAAGCTTCAGTTACACAACTATTTCAAAAGCTCTTCTCATCTAAATGAATTGTGCTGTGCCATGCTATTCATTGAAAAGGTATTCTAAACAGATCTTTCAATTCCCATTGATATATTTTCCAGAGAAAATCTGTACAGCAGCACTCTTGCTGGAGGTGTGGCCACTTCTCCAATGCTCATTGTATTCCATGAGAAATATTCACATATTAATCCTTTATGGCATATCCGACATCTAGGTAAGTTTGAGACTCGAGTTCTGCAAGCTGAAACAAAAATGCCAAAGGCCTTTAAGGGTTCCTTAGAATATTGTATGAGCGCTGCAACCCCAGAGTCGTCCACGACTGGACCTAATGGTCAGGGGTCCCTTTACTGTTTTACTGCCGACCTAGCAGTTCCAAAGCATGTCAAAGTGCAAGTAGATAAATAGGTACAGCTCCAGCGGGACGGTAAATGGCGTTTCCATGCGCTGCTCTGGTTCGCCAGAAGCGGCTTAGTCATGCTGGCCACATGACCTGGAAGCTGTCTGTGGACAAACGCCGGCTCCCTCAGCCTATAGAGCGAGATGAACGGCGCAACCCCAGAGTCGTCTGCGACTGGACCTAACAGTCAGGGGTACCTTTACCTTTACTGCCCCTGTATAGTTTGAAGCTGGGCAGACTGTAAGAGACAGCACATACATCAGATTTCTTCTTTGCAAATTAAATCTGTTGTTCTCCCAAGACTGTGGTGCAGATGGGGCAAATGGGGCATGGCAGGGAGATGAAATCCTGGTACACAGGTAAAGTTCCTTTATGGTGCACAGGTACAGCTTTCTGGAATTATTTAAATATAGCTATGGAGTGTGAACAAGCCATAGTTAAGTATTTACTGTAATCCTATGCCCACTTATCTGGGAGCAAGTCCTGCTGAACTCAATGGGACTTACTTCTGAGTAGACATGGATGGGATGGTGCTGCAAATGACAGAGCATTAAGCAAGTGTTTATGATGAAATGGAGGAGAGCTGCACTATTTTGTTTAAAGAGTGAAGAGTTTTCCAGTAAGGGCTCTATAAAAATCTATCTAATTTCCCCCCCTATAGGCTGGAGTCCAGATGCCAGGTACTCAGAGCACTTTCTTCATGAAGCCAAGTTACTTCACTGGAATGGAAGATACAAGCCTTGGGATCACCCTAGTGTTCACACTGACCTATGGGAAAAGTGGTTTGTTCCTGACCCTTCAGGAACTTTTAAATTGATTCGTCCTAATAGCTGATGCTGCTGTCATTTACATTTTTAAAGGATCAGGATCAGTCATTTGCAGCATGCACAAGATACTTCATTCTATGCAATATTTTGCGATGCGAGTTCACCTCCTTTGTTGCATATAAAGCTGCTGCATAAGTCTGTAACTAAAAGCATGGCTCAAAATGAAGAGTTCATTGGGGCCCTGATGAAACAATCACAGTTTGGGGAAGCTTCAAGTCATGCCATTAGGGCTACAAGGCTTAGGGAAAGTACTTTATAAAAACAGGGACTACGTTTTAAGTCATACTCTGTAAATAAAGTTTGTTTCTTGCTGAGAGACCAAATACTGTTTCTTGCAGACTGTAACACTTTTTGAATAAAAATAAGGTTTACTTTAAGTATACATTATGAAGTCAAACTAAAACCAAAATTAAACATCCGTTCTTTTATTTATTTCAAATAATTTATCCATTTCTTCTTTTCAACAGCACAAACAATTCAGCATTAAGACTTTTATTAAACAATGCCACAATTAAGCACCAGAAGATACTGCAACAATTCCTGGTTTGTTTGTTTTTTGCAAGAAATTGGCAGATCAGAAGTGTTCAATACAATTTTTAAAAGCACCATGTGTGACAATAGACGTGCATTCACATTTCATTAACCTGTTGGTAATCTAATGGATGCTCTTTTAAGTAAGATGTTCCCCTTTCACACTTAACTAAAGTTACTACTGAGCTGTCCACCACCTGTGGCAATATAGCTTTGTTAAAACTAAAAATTGTTTCAGATCCCTGATGCAAGGCACTTCAAGCACTTGCAAGAAAGTGTCCATGTAAACAGTGATACATTAAAAAAACCCTTTAAAAACCTAAGGCTGTAATCCTGAACACACTTACTAGGGAGTAAATCCCACTGAACACAGGAGGGCTTAATTCTGAGTAAACATGCATAGGACTGTGCTGCAAGTGAATCATTTTATAGATTGTTGACCAGGTAATGAAAAGTTTCCACAGCAACTAACCGACATGATCAGAACCAGAATATACACCTCAATCTTATTATTTTTTTAAAAACAACAATGTTGTGTTTGTGGATTAAAGCACATGATTTTGGAGGGAGATCACAAACATGCTTATCTCTCAATGAGCAGCAAGTCAAAACACTACATAAGGTTCAAAGCTGCTAGCAAGCTATGGATCTACTTTAAATTGATCCACTCAACCCATTGTTCTTGATCCAAACACACACAAGACATTTTTAAATAAATCCAGCTGTTTGTGGTATACTTAAATAGTGATCTAGACTATGTACACATTATGGAGACACAGTTCTTGCGCATAATTCAAGTATCCGAAGCACCTAATCAGCAGATGAATCAAAACCTCAGTTTGATCCTCTTATTGCTTTTACTTTTAAGCCATCTCTTCCCCACTTGTGACAAAAAGGAGGTGCGGGGAAGAGAGAAGGAAGCAAGATATTAGGCACAGACAGAACAAACACTCTCAACATCAATTTAAGTTTATCCAAAGACAATGAGCACGATCCACTTGCATTGTGGGCTCAAAACTTGCAAGCAAAGAATTCCAACGGAGCTAAAACGGAGGCTGTTTTCTCCCTCCTTCACTTGTGCATACAAGGCAGTGCGAAGAAATGTTAGAGGGGAAAGGGACACATCTCCTTCACTTATACCCAAACTTTTGCAAGGCATGGAGAGAAGGGGCTCAATAGGTCTGTGGAAATGCACAGAGACTTCCCATTTCTCCCAACACCGTAGCACTGCCTGTATGAGTAGCCATGAGTTAGGAGGGGAGGACAGGGCAAGCTTACTGAAATCTTCCATATGCAGGTGCTGTGTCTGCAATGCAATGTCATTGTGCCCCAAACCATTAGGAAATGTTTTGTAGGTGGGCAATTATGTCCATTTCCTAGGGTAGGCTTGTAGCTGCCTGAATGTCACACCACCACCAACATCGTTTTGGCCAGCAAGATGTGGAATGTGATGTTTCCTAAAAATGAAAAATGCTGAATTCTGGTGAAGCTTCTTCAGATCAACCCTCTCTTGCCCCCAGTTCCTTTCCAATGTTTTCCTCCTCCTGTGGCATGTATGTATTTAAAAAGCCTATACAGTGGTACCTTGGTTCTCAAATGGCTTAGTTGTCGAACAAATCGGCTCCTGAACCTGGAAGCAAGTGTTCCAGTTTGCAAATGTTTTTCGGAAGCCGAATGTCTAACACGGATTCCGCTAGAGTGCAGGAAGCTCCTGCAGCCAATAAGAAGCAGCGCCTTGGTTTTTGAACAGTTTCAGAAGTCGAACTGACTCCTGGAACGGATTAAGTCCGAGAACCAAGGTACCACTGTACAGAGCATACATATTTCCTTCTTAAGGTGGTTCTCTATTCTGGCCAAAAGTTCTCTTGAAACACAAATCAGGGTTGGGGATCATGTGCTGTTCAATTTATTGTTGGGCTACAACTCCAATCATCCTGGACCATTGCATGTCATCCTGGACATGCAATGCGGGGCTGATGGGATTTGGATTCCAAAAACATCTGGATGACCACATGTTCCCTAGCCCTAAATCCCCACCACTATATCTTTCCATTCCAAGAGCTACACTACAAGCCATTCCCCACCAGCAGCTCAACCTTCAGAGGGCAGGCAGAAGGGAACACACAAAATGTGGTGGTTACAGCATTCCCCTCCATCTTCCTGAGATAAGTGGCTATGAGATCGAGGTATTAAACTCTCAGAAACATGTGCACAGTCTCCTCATACCTCTCTTCTTTACACACACACTTTCTCTCACACACTAAGGAATTGTTCACACATGCATGTTTATCATGGGCCACCAAAGACAATACACTGGAGGCAGGATTTCCATATCTCACAAGGAAAGCTTTTTAGGGCTGAGCCAAAAGTAGTAAAGGGAGGCCTGAACAAAGGCATGTGCTAGGATAATCTTAGCTCAGAACTGAAAGAAGTGCTACAACTTTCAGTTGTTTTTCAGAGATCACTGTGAAAGGCTGTTAAAATGTTGATTTTAGAATCCCTTATGGGCCAAGATTATCCTCAAAATCTGAATCTGAAGCAGTGCCCTTACACTAAGGGGAACCCACTTGCTCTTAGTGACATCAGCAAGCAGTCAAATCTGACCGGCTGCACAGCACTGTAATGTCACCACATCCAGTATATAATCCCTGATTGACTGGGATCACTTGAGGATGAATGAAATGGAGAGAGTGAAATGCCAGCTGAAATAGCAGCAGATATTAATCAACAACAACAACAACAGGATGAAGGTGCTTGGCCCCCATAAAGTAACAGAGGAGAGACCTGGTGATCATTTGGTTCAACCCTTATGCTTTTCAAGGGCGGCAGGTCACACATTCAAGTGGCAGTAGTCAAATGATGTACATACATGCCTGCATGCTACTTTCTGCCATAAAAGCAAGACTCTTTCACACCAGAGGCAGGCCTACAACTGTGTGTAACAGATTTGCTGGACAATAACTTGCTATGTCACTTCCATTAACAATGTTAGATCTACAAGCAGCTTTCCCTCTCCTTAGATGGACTAACACACGTATGAAATATCCCAACACATGAAGGGATAGGTTAAAAATGTACGTTCACAAACTACATTACAAAATACAGATTTAAAACAAAACAAAAGTTTTCACCAATGAGAAGTCAGTTTTCTAAAACTGCAACTATGGAACAATTTAAATACAAAAGTCTCATACAAAATAAGAAAGAAAGAGAAAGAAACAGGGAAGCCTCATCTCTTAAAAAGCATTTTCTTTAAGTGACCTGATTCATAGGTCTAAATCTACAAACACAAATGGTTATCATAAGAGAGAACTAAGAGGTAAAATGCTATTTAAAAATGCTTCAGTTGGAGAACTGAGGTACCATTCTTGACGTTTGCATTTTAAAAAAACTCCTGCAGAATTTACGCTTGGCTTAAAAGGCAGCCTTTAAGCATTGCTTCCTTCCTCCTCTTGTGGTCTAGAATTCCTGAAATCTGGAATCTGATCTGTGAAAGACTGTGTCATCCACTGTCCATTGGGGACATCTCCAAAGGAAGATCCACTGCTGTACTCTGCACTGGTTGCTGCAGGAAAACAAACCAAAATGACTTAATCGTTTAGTTGGTGCTCTGGCTGACGTTAGAAAAGGCATTTCCCCAAATGTGCTGGTTACAGATTTTGCCCACCAGGGGGCATCCATTCATCTGTTTGACTGTAGATGGGGGGTGGCTGAGGGTAGCCACCTCAGGGAAACTCTAACCCAGGCATGTCCAAAGTCCGTTTTGGGGGCCTAATTCGGCCCCCGTGGCAGTATATGTCCTGGGGTAAAATCCTAAGAAAAGCTCAACAACTTTGGGGTAAAATTGTAAAAAAACCTGAACAACTTTGGTCGGCCCTCACGCATGTTCACTTCATCAAATCTGGCCCTCTTTGAAAAAAGTTTGGGCACCCCTGAGAGTCTAACCCATTCCCCACCATGAAATTTTCAGCTACAAAAGCCACCCAGCTGCTATCCATTTAAAAAAGTTAAACACGTACAACTTAAAGCAACTAACTTACTCAATCCATTTCATTAAGAAAACAATTGGGGGGAAAACTAAAGATGGCCATATTTTAGCCAACTCTATAAGAAAGTAAGTGTGCTTCAAGAATTCTATGCCTTCCTTGAAGGCATTCCTGTCGGTCTGTTTTCCACTGGAAGAGAAATATTTGCCCATCAAATGTCCCATCTCTGGAAGGGAGTCTTTAATTAATTATTGGGTTAGTGCCATTACTTTTTATTTGTTTTTTAGATGGTATTTTAGGAAACAGTTTTGATCTTATGCAGCTCTGGTTCTAATATCTGGTTTAGTGCTCTGCTGCTTCATAAATGATTGTTTATTGTATTTGTAGTTTCATTTTTATTTGTGAGCCACTATGAGAATCACTTGGGGCTGAAGAGCAACATAGAAAATAAATGGAATTAAAAAGCACAACTGGCACTTAAAATTTGTATTTTGTTATTCCGTTTCACTAAAGATGATAAATAAGTCGAATAACCATGAGTAACTCTTTGGATTTTGGATTTGCTATTTCTCGCTAATTTACCATGTCCCCCAACAGTCCCCCTAGATCCTCTGGCATTAGCACGGCGGCTGCGGCTGCTTATCATTATTATTATCATTATCTTACAAGTGATAAATTGAGAGAGTGAAAGACAGAGAAAATATATGGCAACTGAAAAGACTGAATTTTACTTACACAGATTTATACATGCTTCTCTACGTCGGATTTTAAAAAGATATAAAAAGTTACATGTGAATGCAGAATGTGACTTCTACTTTATAACACCTTAATACAGTGGTGCCCCGCAAGACGAATGCCTCGCAAGACAAAAAACTCGCTAGACGAAAGGGTTTTCCGTTTTTTGAGTCGTTCCGCAAGACGAATTTCCCTATGGGCTTGCAACGTCTTGCGAGTTCTTGCGAGTTTGTTTCCTTTTTCTTAAAGCCACTAAGCTGCTAATAGCCGCTAAGCGCCGCTCAGCCGCTAATAGCCGTGCTTCGCAAGACGAAAAAACCGCAAGACGAAGAGACTCGCGGAACGGATTAATTTCGTCTTGTGAGGCACCACTGTAGTTTATACTTTTGCATTGAGTTCCAAATGCAGTGTTGCACTTGTCTAAAATAAAAGAAATTAATAAAATCAATCCTAATTATCTTCTGCATCAGGGAACATGGATTAAAATGAAGAGAAAACAAAATATTCCCTATACTCTACCTGTTCCATTTGAAGGGAAGTTACATGGTTCACCATCCTCAGCTGTTTTCTCACCATAAGCACCCCCGTAAGCTGCTTCATAACCCGGATCATATTTTTCTTCTTTGACAGCCATTTTCTTAGCATCCTCTGAAGAAACACACACACATTGAAAGCTTAAATCAAATCTCTAACCGGTCATGAACAAGTGGATATATGAGAAACAAAAATGGAATACATGATCACAGTGGAGAGACCTTAATATAGACATGGATGGAAAGAAATAGTATGATACAATAGTAATGTTGGTGTGAATCAATAAGAGGAAATATGGTTAACCCTTATAAATAATTACAGTATTTAGGGGACCTATCTTGGACTTTCCATAAAATAAACAAAATGATGACAATCAGACAGTGTAACTTAGAGGAAATATTGTTTAACAGACAGTGAAGTAGATAGTAGTTCATATTGACCGATGGGTTTAAATAATTTTATATTCTTTCTGTACATGACCAGTACAGTGGAACCTTGGTTCTCAAACGGCTTAGTCGACAAACAAATCGGCTTCCAAGTGCCAAAAACCCAGAAGTGAGTGTTCCAGTTTTTGAACGTATTTCGGAAGCTGCGCCTTGGTTTTGGGAGTCGAATGGACCTCTGGAACGGATTAAGTTCGAGAACCAAGGTTGCACTGTAGATTGAAAATTGGAAGTCCCTCTTTTGTCATTTTTGCTAATGTTTCTGTTTCTGCTTTCTTTGTTCTCTCTCTCTCTTCTCTCTCTTTATCTCTGTTGCCTCTTTCTCTTTTTCTTCTTTTTCTTGTATTGTATCTTAGGTAGCTGTAACCTTATTGTATTATGGGAAAATCTCAATAAAAACCTTATCGAGAAAAATAAATCAGATTTCAAACTCTTGACTTGAGCATATGAGGAGTCTTTCAACAGGATAACACTGTTATCCTACTCAGAAGGTATATTATAATTATACCCTTATTGTATATGATTAAATAATATCCAGTATAAAATAGAATTTTAAGGAATTACAAGTTACAAGACCTCAAAATGTATTAAAAACTTTCTATTTGCTCTCTTGTTAAACTGTTTAAGGAATAGTTTCACAGAAGAAATCATGCATACATTTAGGACACTTTTGTTTAAAATAGGTCACAACTGCAGCCTTCCAGTTACAGCACTAAGCAGCTGCCCAGGCCCACTTTATTTTTCTCATGTGGATTACGTCTTTTGAGCAAATCCTGGTTATTCTGGCTTCATATGCTATACCTTGTGCTAGCTGCAAGTCAAATGTGTACTGCACTTCCTGGACCTCTGCATTTGACGCAACACCCTTCAGCTGATCCCTTAGGTCTTTCAGCTTGATGTAATAATGAACTTTATCTTGTGCACGAGGAAACTGAGCACATCTTGCACTGGATGAGGGCATAACATAGCAAAGCTGTAAAAAGGAAACAATATCAAAACAGAAGGCAATGTTAAATCAGAAGCCTCCAAACTTGTAGAGCATTTTTAAAAACACTAACTTTGTTTCAAAAACTTCCATTATCTCACTCACAGGTAGTAAAATCTTAAATTCTAAGGTAACAGTTTTGAATAGGAGTGTTTTTTCCTCCATCAGTGCAAGGTTATATCAATTCATTCTTCCACAAATGGTAAGATTCTGTGTTTTCATTTCATAACCACGACAGGAACTTACTGTTTCTGTGTCTGGAACCTTATGTGGCTGGAGTCCAAATTCCAACTTTTTAACCTTTACGCCAAAAACCTCTTTGCTGAAAATGTCATAAATGCCTACAGTCAAATTAAATACAAATTGACTGTTAGTCACAATACCATACCAGTGAAATCAATATGCAGAAATCTTGTATATAAAAGGCTCACATTTTCCATTAAAAACTGCTATTTTAGGTTGATACTTCTGCAATTTTTGCACCAGAATCCGTCCTCCTTCCCGAAACTCTTTGCTAAAAAGTGGGAGGAAAATATTAAGTTATATAGCAGGTCTGGAAATACCCATGATCTATTTACGGAATTCCAACTTGACCCTACCTGGAAAGGTCCTTGCTCCCTGGTGTTGTCCTTTCCACCATGTTTGTAAACCCAATACCATATTTATGTGGCAAAGTGTGGTCATCCATATGATTCAACTGTTCTTCACTTAACCCAGACAAAAAGAGACACTTCCCTGTGGAGGCAGAAAATATATGATTCTTATAGTTTGTGTTACAATGCAGTCAACTTCTTATCACTGCTCAGGCAACCAGTACTTGAACACCATGTCGTTTTTGGCTCTCATATTGTGTGCTTCCCACACAATTTGCCTCTGATGTTCTTGGAAGGAAGTGAGATAACTAATATCTTCTCACCGCTTGGCATTTCCTTTTTAGCATTAATGCTGAATATGCACTATTTTGCATGCTCACCGTTTCACCCATGCAGCCATTCATTACACTTCTTCCAGCAAAAGCCAAATCTTGCCCACAATCTCATTTCTCTAGCCCTTCGACAATCAGAAAATGCAGAATTAAAACTGCATTCTTAAAATTTCCAAGAGATCATAGAAGGAGGAACTTACAGAAGTGGTTTCCAGGTCCTGGGTAATGATGGCCTTTGTAGGCTGCCATTAAACCTGGATTTATACCAATCTAGAAAACAAAAGAACAATTAAATCTTCTCATCTGTTCCATGGAATAACTCAAAGTGCTTTGGATACTTTTTATGCCCTGAATGGTTTAGGACTGGGTCATCTACAGGGCTGCCTTTTCCTGGATGAGCCTGCCCACCTATTTACATTATGTTCCTATGTGTTTGGTTTTATAACATGGTTTTAATGCATTGGTTTTAACTATCTCTATTTTCTTTGAATATATTTTAATGCTATTAGTAAGAGAGGATTGCTGCTGCTTTCTATTTCTGTTTTGGCTGTTTTCATATTTTTGGCAACGGACGTTTTAAAATTGTTAAGTTGTGATTTTGTTCTGTTAGCTACCTTGAGCTTTTTTTGAGGAATGACAAGATACAAATGTTTTAAATAAATAAAGACCTGTTTACGACTATTAATTGCTGAAGCAAAGCAGGGTATGGAACTAAAATGTGAAATATCTCAGAGACGACTTTCACGTTCCAGAAAATATAAAGTTAATCACTTATCTCATCCGCTCTTACAGATCTGTTGTAAATACTTGAAATGTTTATGACAATGGGAAACCACTGTGCTAAAACAGAGGAAAATACTTTAAAACAGCTAAGGAAAAAGCAAAAGTGGAAATAGACCTCAATTATTTGTTGGGAATAAGGAAATATCAGAAAGTGATCACTTTTTGTTCCTAGCCAATCTAGTAAAATGATCACTTGAAACAACAAATGACCCTCTTCTTATAAATTAAAAAGAAAAAAAAAGGGGGGGGGAATGATAAATTATCCTCATGGAGAAACTCCCAGGGACAAACATTAAACTGTAGAGCCAAAAGGTCATGCAAGAGGAGGAGGTTTGTAACATTTCTCTACAGAGCCCAAATCTATACAAGGGAAGAACAGAATGCTATTGTTGCAACAGACTAACACAGACATCCCTTTTGGGATTTACTACAAAGTTGCTAACTGAACTGGCTGCAAAACAGTTATCTACAGATAAAACTTTCTTACATCTGACTTACAATTACAATATCCAAATTGAAGGTCAGTATATCAGGAAGAGTTTTGGTTAACAATTCAGCTTCAGATACGCCATTAAAACGATCTACTTTCCTTTTGACTTTAAAAGTATCTGTGATTTTTTCTTGTTTGGCTTTTGACTTGGCAACTTTAGCAGCAGGTTTCTTGGGTTCAGAAGTTTTGTTTTTTCTCTTTCTTCCTTTAACAGTTGCTGTAAGACAAAGGGAAATTACTTTTTATTAAGTCTTTGGAGATGGCAAAATACTACTAATTAATCAGAGATGATGTGAAATGTTACATTTAAAAATCTATTTCTAGCTAATAAAATATCTTTCAGCTAAACATGACATCCAACAAATATTCTCAACGAAAGTTGGAAGAACTCCACATCTTTCTAACTTATCCAAACCGTTACTGCCCTGAAAAGAGCATCAGATCGCTCTTGCTGTTAATATTTATCTTTGGATAGATAAATATTACTAGAAACCTGCTGGTACATGAAAGAGAGTTTTTAAAATGCCTTGCAAATGAGCTCTGAGCATCAAAACTGACCCCCAGTGCCCATTTCTGGAGAAAGTACACAATAAAAAATTACTTGAGAAATCTTAAGGTTATTCAAGTTTAGTTCCAGAGGCTGCTTTTACAAATAAATTCAATTTGCTATAGAAATCACAAGGCTGCAAGAAAAGTTTGATTGCATCAAAACTTTATTTTGTGCATTATCCTAAGAAATACCTTAGTAACTATATGGCAAGCAATCATATAGTTATGTTGCAAACTAAGAAGTTGCATTATTAAATGTTACCCAGAAATTAGTAACAGTATCCAAGAATTTTAAAGGGATTGGTAATCTACTATTTTAAATATTGATGTAGAATAATCAAGTGAGACTAAATTTGAAATCTTTAATACAATATGCTGGCCAACCAGAAAAAAGATGGGATCAGTTTCTGAACTACAAAACAGAATAAAAAGGGTTGCATTGACAATCTGAGAACAATGTAATGCATGTATGAATACCATGATATAGACAGGTTATGCAACTTGTTCCTGTAACTTTGACATTTACCTTTTACTGTATACAACAGAAATGCAAGTTAAGTATGTGAATGTAAACTGCTGCTTCATCAGTTATTAGAAAAAATGTGCAAGCTCAAGCTAGAAGTGTCCACTCTTTCTTGTTACTACAATATTTTAAAACTGTAAAGGGCACATTTTCACAATAAGCATTGATTCAGATCAGCAATACCACCACTCTGAAGAATGAAGCTATCCAACTGTTTTCAGATATTCTAAAAGAAATATGTTCCTGCATATTTGCTTAAACATTTCAAGGAAAAAAATTGAGACACCTTTAACAGGTTCTGGAACAAAGTCTGATTCCAAAGGCCCCTGAAGTGCTTCCTCTTCATTCATCATCTCCATGTTTGGAACTCCAGTCATCATTTGATGGAATGGAAAAGGATAAAATGCTGGTTGAAGGGCAGTATAATGTCTTTAAAAAAATAATTTAAAAAGGTTAAAATTACTACCATTTCAAATTATAAATTTGGAACAAAATTTCAAGTAGTATTTGACATGCATTTTCAAGTCTAGTCTGGTGGATTTCTTCCATGTTTGGCAACAATTCTCATCTTATATATTATATACTTCTGCTCCCACAGGATCACAGCCAAGGTCAACAAAAAGGGTACTTCCAGACAGGTGCTTGGTGTGGAATGGGTGCTCCTTAGGCATGCACATCTTTTGCAGCGTTCCCAAGACATTGTTTGTGTAAAAATACCATTCTATACTTCCCCATTTAATTCAGACTTACCCTTTCCAAGAAAAATCCAATTAATTTAAAAAAATGTTGCCAACAGCCCATTTGTGAGATCTATTCTATTAACCTCTGTTCTGGAAGTATCCCAAGTTACCCTTGAATAGTTGTACTTGCTTTTTGTTTGTTAAATATATGATCAGAGTGGTAACAGGGTTGATTCTCAAAGTCTAATTTAAACACAAACAAATGATTTGGAGAGCTACGTTTCCTGTTTGCATGATCTGGGAAAGCACAAATACTGTCAATTGCTAATCAAGTCAATGAGTCCCAACACAATATGTTAACCTGGTTCAAGCACTGAAAAACCCTACAAGCAGAGTAAAAGAAGTTACAACACACACTGAAAGGCTCCACTTCTTGACAGCAATTCACTGAAAGAAAGACTGTAGAGCAGAGGCAGGGCATTTGACTTGCATGCAGAAAGTCCCAGGGCTCAGTCCCCAGCACCTCCAGATTTGGTTGGGAAAGTCCCAACCAAAGAAAGCTGCTGCTGGCCAGAACAGACCATCAGATGCAGATGAGACTTCCTATGCTGCGAATTAAATAAAATAAAAAGGTACCAATATGCTCATGCAAACTGCTGCTGGGAAAACCTGCTGTCATAGGTCAGATACTAGTTCCTATCTGCAGCTGAGTTCATAGACATGCCCCATATGTCGTTTATTTTAAGAGTATCTGAACTGGACCACTGCTGTTGTACTATAAATAAGGAGGAACAACTAGCATCCTCAGCTCTACCCTTACACTTATTAAGGCAAGTTAGTTTCCACCTTAAGTGTAATTGAAAGCGGACAAGGAAAAACCATCCTTTCAACACTCTTTACAACTAGCATAAAGAAGCAACTCATCCACATTATTTGATCCTGAATACACACCCGTAGAAAGGATAATTGCTTGCCAAGGTAATAGGAAGAGTTCTGAATACACATTTCATGGAGGCCTAGTTCCACATGAACTGCTTCAAGTTGGTAAGCCTGTTTCTGGATTGTACCATTTCACACTGCACAGGTGGAAGCTCACTTCACCACACACTCTTCAATTACACCACTCCCGTGCCCTTACTGGTAGAAAAATGAGAAACCAGAGGCTTCAAGCCTCTTTCTGACACACCAGTTTTCTATGTAAGGGCACTTTTTGATAATATGAATCATGCCAAGCCCACCCACCCAGTCTGGTAGCAGCTTGGTATGTATGTATGTGCACATGTATATGCACAAAACATGTCTCTCTCATATCAGTCTCTGCCTTCCAACAGTTTGCCTTCACTCCTCCATTGTCTCCCGAGACAGATGGACACCAATCAATATGTATATATGTGTGTTTGTAAATATTTATAACCCACCCTATAATCAAAGGATCTCAGGGCAAGGAGCACGAGAACAATTTTTAAAAATTGCAATCAAAAACAATAAACACACACACACATACAGGGGAGTCATGACAGTAAAATGTGTGCTGTGAGCGTACCTAACAGATCTTGCTCCAATATTACACATATGCTAGTAAGTATACATAATTGTGTATTTGTGTGTGTTGTGTGTGTGTGTGTGTGAGAGAGAGAGAGAGAGAGAGAGGTGCAGCCCTCCATCCCGTGCGCATCTGCCCATGTATCAGTAATATAAACACGCATTATAAATAACAATACAGAGGCGACCCAGAGCCTCGCTCGCTCCCCTCTCCCCCTTCCCATTCCGGCTCAGGCCTTGGCCTGCCTGTGGCAAGAGACCCTGGCCTGGAAGCCTTTTGTGCTCGCCGCAGCCTCCTCCACGGCAGGAGGGGAGGCGACCACGGCCCCCTCCGCCCCCAGAGGGCCTTGGAAGCCCCCCTGCCCACCCGCGAGCTCGGCCTCGGCCTCCTTCCGCCCCATCTACCTGGGGCCGGGCTCCTCGGCTTCCATTCCCGAGCGCTGGCGTCTCCTCGACGCCCACCTCCCCAGCTAGCGAAGGCCCGGCGAGAACTCGAGGCCTAGTCAGCGCCAGCCAAGCCCAACCTCCAAAACCCCGCGACCCTCGTCAAGGCCCCTCCCCCTCCCCCCACAGCTCGCGCGCTGTACCTTCTGCCGCCCACTCTCTCTGGTTCCGCGGCGCCGGCGTGGGCTGGCCGGCCCACAGAGACAGGAAAAGTGTAGACTGACACGCGGCGCGGCCTACCGTAGAATTCCTGGATGGAGAAACGTGGGGCTACGATTTCAGCGACGTAGCGTAGGAAGCTTGCCTTTGCTTCGTTGGCCGACGTGGCTCGGCGTTGCCTGGTCTGAAGGGTAGCAGCGCTCCGGAACCGCGGGTGTCAGGCTGGGTTCTCTCGCGCAGCCCTGCCTGGGTTTGCTGGAGGGATGTGGGGCCAAACGTGGGCGGACCTTATGCAAGCGGAGCTGATGCACTGAGCTACGGCAATATTTTATTTTATTACTTCAGCGTGTGTGTGTGTATATGTATACACATGTATGTGTGTATGTAACACATACAAAATTTTATTTTATTTCAATTTTATTTTATTACTTCATCATAGACATAGCAAAAATAGGAGTGACTTAGTTCATCAGCCTTGTTATAGCACTTCCGGTCTAAAAGCGAACGGCTTTCCTCCTTTATCTCCCGATGCGGAATATTTAGGGCTTTTTTCCCCACATATATGTTACACTTTAGAGCAGGCGTAGAGCACCTAGGGCGAGAATTACAGCCATGGGCGTCTTTCAAATCTTCCCTTGAATGAAAAGGCTACACGCTATTCTACATTTCTATCTCTAGGGTGCTTTCCAGTTCCAGGAAAGGGGGGGGGAAGAGAGAAGTTGTAACAGCTTGTTGTACACGTGACTTCTTGACCTGTGCGTTGCTCTTGCCTTCCGCGTCCTCTATTGGTTCCTGGTCCGGTCAAAGAGAACCTTCTTTCGGCTCGTCCTTCGTGAGATTAGGCTCCGCCACCGACGAGCCAGCGATCAGGGCTGATGCAGGTAACCGGTGCTAGCAACCAGGGAGCTTCATGGAAGAAAAGCCCCCCTCCCATCTACCCCTTTCCATTGGGAAGAACCTGGCTTGCCTTTTGGCGTTGTGGAAGGACACGCGTGTCCGTTGGGCGAGATGCGTGTTTGTCACTTGGCGGATTTGCTCGGTTTCATGGACCTGGGATAACCGTTTAAGAGACCCGCAGGCAACCCACTTCTCACACCGTGGAGACTGCCGTTCATGAGCCTTTGCTGGATCCTTTGCAACTGTTACTTGAGGGGCAGGTGGCCTGTGTCGCAGAGTGCTTTCTTTTCTTTCATTTTGATAATAATTTTTATTAGTTTTCAATTAGGTTCCAAGAATAGCCTCATTATAACAATACCAATTTACAATACAATTATTCGCAGAGTGCTTTCCATCAGCTTTGGCTGGTGGGCCTTATCTGGAGAGGGAAAGCCCAACTACTGCTCTCTATGCTCTGGTAAACTCCAGGTTAGATTACTGCAATAAAGGCAGTCCCATCTAGGGTGTGTTTCATTAATCCAAATAGATTGTACCTAAGGTATGTATCACCATGGCTGACATCTCCAGGAATGGGCGCAGCTGGCACACAAATTTATTCCATGACAGACTAATGTGTTGTTTTCAGAATTTTTACTGGATTGGAGCCCACAGCATGCCAACGATTTCTTAGATGCACATGGGACTGAAATTGCAGTCCCATGCACATCTACTTAGAAATCCCACTGTGTGCAGTGGGACATACTCCCAAGTAATTGTGCATGGGAGTGCAGCCTAAAACTGTGTTTCCACCTCTGTGTTGGGGATTTGCTGTGTGGCTTTGAGCAAGAAAAAGCAGAGGAAGGATGATAGTAAAAATGCTTTCCAAGCATAAGATGCAGCTTTGTTTCAGGAATGAGGGTTGTAGGTAAGTCATACTAGTGTAGTAGGTCCATTGTACTCAACAAACTTAAGTTAATCAATTGAAATTCATTTTGAGCATTATTAGTTGGATACAGCCAGCAACAGGCACTGCCAGAACGTCCAGCATCTTGTGTTTCTATCCTGGACTTCTTCATTTTCCTTTTAGGTCATCAGAGTTCATGCCATTTCTTCACTATTCAGTGTCCTCGTCTTCCTCTTTTACTTGTATTCCAGTTGCTGCTAGTAGCTCTTGGCTATGCCTGCAGGAGTAGCTTGGCCTCGCTACCTGAAAATGTTCAGTGCAAGTATGTTGGCCATGTTTGCTGGTGCAGAAGTTGTCCATCGATATTACAGGCCTGATCTTGTAAGTGGCTTCTCCCCTCCCCGCACCATTTATGTATTGGTTTGTTTGAAATAGTTGCACCTTTCAACTTCAGAAGGACCCCCAGGACAGCTTACATCAAACAACACAGTAACACTGGGAATACACTTATTCCCCAGCACAGCTCTGAGAGGTAATACTGTATATCTCCCAAGACTCTAGGTTTTTTGGTTTTTTTTTACTGTCCATCCCATGACAGACAGTAGCCAGCTTCAGTAGCCTAGCCCTAGATCTTAGATGAGCTGCTGAGCAATAATAGTTGGATATTCTGTTGCCTGGATGGCTTTGAACACCTTACACTTTTCCCTAAGCCTGCAGATCTGTGTCCAAAGGCAGTTCAAAATATTCCTTTATTGTTTTAGCCTTTTATCCTAATGTGCATTTTGAAATGGAGTGTGGGGAATTTTTGGCCCTCCTGATGTTGCTCAACCCATTACCCCTGCCCATTGGCTGTGCTTGCTGGGGCTGATGGAAGTTGTAGTTCAGCAATACCCAGAAGCCCACACCTGGGCTAGAGCTAATACCTTATCATGGTTCATGACCTAGAAGTTTCCACTAAGTGTGCATATAATCAAAGCTATAAATTTAAAAACTGAACTTGTGGTTCTTGGTATCAGTATGACTTTCCTTTTTTCTTTTTTTAGACAATACCAGAAGTTCCTCCCAAGCCTGGAGAACTCAGAACTGAACTATTGGGGCTCAAAGAAAGAAATCAGGAAGTTCAGCCTTCACAACAGTGATGATGCAAGGATTATGTTCCTCCATGAACTGCTCTTTAGTATTTATAATTGAACCTGTGCAATTTCAGTGTTTTCTGGCAACACTGGCTATACAAGTCATCTAGTGTATGCCCATTTTCTGGAGTCAAAATATTTTTACTTCCTCCCATGCAATACAAGGCCATCTTTTACTTAGCTGTCTGGTTTGTCTCAATATGTACCTGTAGCATTGCTCTCTCTATATGGCACAATATGCCAGTACTATTTCCCCCCTTTTCCTTAAAACGGTTTCTGTAGGTTTTTGATGAGGTGTTAAGCTTTTCTACCTTTCTGGAAGAGTGACTTCCAGAGATCAATGAGCCAGGTTGTCAGCCCAAGGGCAGGGACTAAGATGTGACACAAGAGCAAAAGGTATTTCATAGAATAGGGACACCGAGGATCATCAACACCCTGCAATGCAGAAATATGCAGCTGTCCGTTCAAGTACTAGTTCTTGGTTACACATTTGGTTAGTGTCAATCAAAACACCTTCTTGGAAAGAGTTGCAATGCAATTGCAATGGACCTTACAGACTGGCTATTTGGGGCATAGGAAGAAATCTGCCAGCATCTCATCAGCCCCTCACCAGAGCAGAATTATCCATTGCTGTAGGCTGCTCACAATTCTATAATGGGCTTCCAACAAGCAAGGGCGTCAGCCTAACTTAAAGTGGATGTAATGGAGGTGGATTTGCAGGTTGGGGCCTCATAGGTTCTAGCACTGCAGCCTGTAGTAAAAGGCAGCAAAATTACACCCACTAAAGAACAGTTGGTTCCAATGGTGGGAGGGTAGCCCAGGTGATGAAAATAATGGGGACTGGAGATGGATGGTTGCCTCCTTGGATTTTCACTCCCTAAAAGTGGTGCTGCAATAAACTCATGTTTCACAAAGCTGCGTGAAGTGTGCTTTCTGTAGGCAAGCCTTAGGCTACAACCCTAATGTATCTACCTCACTGAGTTCACTAGTACTTCTTGAGTAGAAATTATGATTGTCCTTTAAATCTATATTAACTATAGACACCTTATATTAAACTGGCTGCTCTTATCTGCTGTACCAACTAGACTTTTCCCCTGCAGTGGAAGGTATCGCTGCTGTTCAGGATTTACCACCTTATAGATTGACATACATTCTATATATAAGACCTCGTGGGCGAGTTCAGAATTGACAACTGATACAAAGCTCAACTTGTCATGTGACCACATATCTCTCTGCTCTAGTTTTCAGGGGTTTTTTTTTGCTGCCTAGCTCCTCGGTACAATGCATCGTGTAGGCTGTAGTTCCACCTTGCTACATCTTCCAGCACCACAATTTTCCATCTGTGAAGTTCCCAATGTTGCATATCACAGACATCTTAATTATGCAAGAAATGAGTGTTCAGGTTTTTTTTGTTCTGAAACAGCAACTAGTTAGGTCTTGTTAATAAATGAGGTCCACTATTTTCATACAAAAAACAGGGAAGTAATTTAATTTAACCTCTTTTAAAAACATACAGAACCTGGAAATTAATTGGGCATTCTACTTGTTTTAGGAAGTACAAGTAATTTACAACCTGCCTATTATAGCTGTGAATAACTTCTGTTGTAATAGCAGAATTGACAAAATAGCATGGATTTCTATTTCCAATCCCCTATATTTTTAACTAATTTATGTTCTGGCTTCTGAATAGTGTACACTTTCTAAAACACAGATGGTGCTCCATACCTTTATCAGTTCTGATTATTAAGCATCTCCTGTAAAATAGTTAACAGGTTTTCCTTTCCCACTTTTTTCCACTGTTTCTCTTTCAACAAGGTTGCTGTACTAACAGACTAACTTTGCTTAATTTCAAGGTAAGTAAAGAAGCACCTCCGCTGCCCCATACAGCAAATGGTGTGAACATTTTAATTTTGTACACATGACAAGATTTTACACCAAGTAGTCAGTTAAATAGTACAAATTTACATTGTGAGGAATGTTTAAAAAATGCAACTTAAAAAATTCTCTCCTGCCCATAACCCTAAGCCTCCCCCCAACATTTTACATTGAAAAAAAAAACAAACCAAAACAAAACAAATTTAGTTCACATCCCAGACACAGGATACTATTTGTGAGAGTGCATTTTACAATTCATCCTTTACATCTGTGGGCTCCTGGAAGAGAGACAAAGAAAAGACTAAGTCAAATGTTTCAAGACACAAACACCTGCCTATAAAAGAACGGACAAGCGTCTCAACATCATTTCTAGGCCTGCTATTACACAGTATGCCATTTTTTAATTCCTATTTGCAAGGTTTACATTACTCAGCTTTAGAGCTGGAATAGCCAATGTGGTGCACTCCAGATACCGATTGATTCCCAACTTCCATCATTCCTGACCACTGGCCATACTGGCTGGAACTGATAGGAAGTAGAATTCAATAACATCTAGGACACCACACTGTGCCAGAGCAAAAACAGTACTCCAATTATTAGCAACTTTAAATGAGTCCAAACAGTTTGCCTCTACGTTAGGCCTGCTCTAATCAACCAGAAACACAAGAATGTATTATTTGGATAAAGGGAATATGATGTCCTTTTGAAAAACACGTATTAGAATTCCATTTTCAGTTATGTAAAGTTTTGCACCATCGCACACAATAGCACTAACCTTTGATTCACTGTCTTCAGCATCTTCATCAGCTTCTATTTCCTCTTCCTGTTCTACCTCTTCAGCAGCATCTTCTGGTTCTTCTGGCTCTTCTTCCACCTTTCAGAAATAATTTTATTTAGTGAACAAAAAGCCAACCAAAAATCCTCCAAAATACTTTCAATCAATACCAAGTGTGATTTTTTCTTGTCGAGGCACTGTGGACAATGCAGGATTAGCACCCAAGACTTCCATTGGAACATCTGCAGTCAGTCATGGTACATTATTGCACATGGAATTTCATTTTGGGGAAGTAGTACAAAATTTAAATGTGTGTTAAACTGGATATTTGGCATAGGGAACCTCTGGCTCATGGGCACAAGCTCCCAATTCGGTTCCTAGCATTCCCTCTCCCCAAAAGTGTATTCTCTCTAGTTAAATTTACACCAAAGTAGGTATAAGATGAAGGAACTATGCACAGAATACCTCATGTGATGTATAGCAGCTGAGTCTTAATTTCAATTATGCTCCTTTTCTGCTCAGACAACTGTTTTCTTAATTCTTACATTTCTATAATTATCTAAGTGGCCTAATAGCTAGCTAATAGGACATTTTCAGCCTTGCTTTTAAGCAATGGCTGGTTACAGTTCTGTTAGCATTTGACTAGATTAGTATGTTCCGATTCTGTACTGAATACCACTGTGCTTCTTGAATGAAGAGCCAATTAAACTGAATTGAAGGCTTATGCCAATTGCCTTGACATTTTAACCAACCTTTTCTTCTGGGTCAATGTTCAGGCTCAGACGAAGCATTCTTTCTACTCTTTCTCCATATTCCTTTGTATCGGGTAGCAGATACCCTGATCTTAGGGTAGCAGTCTCAAATAAAACCACAGCAAGATCAGCAACTGTTTGATCTTCTTCATTTTCCTGAGAAATAAGCAAAAAATTAGCACAACAAAATGAGCTTGTGGTCACTGGGCTGTCATACATGTAGCCAAATAGGCTGCAGCATGAGTTACCCAGCATTTGGTATTTTGTTATAGGTAGAAGTAACAAGGTACTTTAATAAAGCTTCAAAAGGTAGAATTCAAGTAGCTTCAGCAGGACCCGACAATACAGATGCCCAGGGTCCTGGAACTTTCTTACCTGAATACGTCTGAGCATGTCTTTTATGAGGGGATGTCTAGGGTTTATTTCAAATGTCTTCTTTTGGCTTGCATAGTAACTATAAAGAAAGAATATTTAAGGTTAACTAAATATAGTATTTTTATATGAGACTTTCAAAAAGAAACTTCCTAACCGGTAAAGATACTTAAAGAGGCGGCCTTGAGTTGTTAATTTAATCTTAGGCAAAGACAACATTGCAATTTGTAGGAAGACTAAGTGTTGTGCAGTGCAATTGTCTGTATGTTTATTCAGAAGCAAGTCCCACCTTCAATGGTTTCACTCAGATGACTGTGCCTAGGATTGCAGCCTAAGTGTAAGAACCTGCCACAACGTTGTGGCATGCATACCAAACTTGCATAGAAAATTCACTTCAGAACCTCTATATCAAACTGCAAAATGTTTAATATGAAATGTTCCAAAAGGCATTTTTGAGATGCTGAACTATTTGCGTTTACATTGCTTATGGGATAGTTTCCAGTTGCACTGCTAAAATCTCCCTCTCAGCTAGCAAGTAAGTGACTTGAGTTCTACATTACAAGGCCTATGATCAGCCAGGTAATATAGCCTCTAAGTTCTAGATGCAAGTGCTTTATCCAGAAGACTACTGGCAGATGTTATGTTTGACTTATAAATTCTTTAACTAGAAAGCACAGGAAAAATTCTAAATACTTACTTTGTAGAAATGTCTTTGCCTGTCTGGTAAGCCTGAGCTTTCATAATTCTTTCCATATTGCCAGACCATCCATACTGACTAGCCACAAGAGCACACGGAGACTGAGTTAATCGCTGAGACAACACTGCTTTTTCAATCTGAAATAGAAATGTTGTGAGTTCAAACGTAGCACAGAAATGCATCAGTAGAAGAGTATGAGTTTCCTTAGTATGTACATACCTTATCCTTCAGAGCTTTATCTTTCATCCAGTTTAGAAGAGGTTCATATTCTTTTTCTAAAGCTTCACGGGCTTCCTTCGATTTTTCACTCTCCTCAAACTTTACTCCTTCTTTAGCTACATTCTGGAACCTTTTGTTATCAAACTCTGGGAGAGCCTGAATGCAATATTCATCTACTGGCTCAGTCAGATAAATTACTTCATAGCCTTTTTTCAAAAGTCGTTCTACAAATGGTGAAGATTCAGCCTACGAAGCAGGTGTACAAAATACTAGTATAAGGTCACAGTACTGCAAGATCCAAATGCTGAATGAGGTATTCTTTCACTACTAGCATACATTTATCCAGCCTGAATAAGGCATTAGTCTTACTTTTCTAGAGATAAAGCAACATCTTTCTGCAATGGAAGTTACAATCACAGTAGGATTCAATGATGAAAAATGACTGACCTCCTTTCTGCTTGATCCAGCCATGAAATAGATTTTATCCTGTTTCTCCTTCATTCTTTCTACATATTGGTCTAGACTAGTCAATTCGGACTCATGGTGAGATGTTTGGAAGCGAAGCAATTTTGCTAGACGAGTGCGATTTGAATGATCTTCAATAACTCCAAGTTTGATGTTTGTTCCAAATTCTTTCCAGAATGTTTCATTGTATTTTTCGTCAGCAATCTTTTTAATCATATCAAGTGTTTTGCGGACAAGTTTCTTCCTGATAACCTAAAAATGATTGAAAAAGGACACTTGCATATGACAGCTTTCAAGAACATCAGGAGTTTTGAAACTCTGCAAGTTGTTAGGTCAAGATGCATTATGATGCATTCTTATTAAATATTCCTATTAAAACCAACTCTCCTGTTTTTTGCTAATACAGACCCCTCTGCCTGTTGATTATGGCTTAACCCTTGAATAAAGGAGAAAACTCCAGCTCCGCTTCTAGACAAAAGGGAGATCTTCAGAGTCAAACCAATTGTTTATATCAGGGGTCAACAAACTTTTTCAGCAGGGGGCCGGTCCACTGTCCCTCAGACCTTGTGGGGCACCGGACTATATATTTTTTTTGGGGGGGGATGAACGAATTCCTATGCCCGACAAATAACCCAGAGATGCATTTTAAATAAAAACACACATTCTACTCATGTAAAAACATGCTGATTCCCGGACCATCCATGGGCCAGATTTAGAAGGCAATTGAGTTGGATCCAGCCCCCGGGCCTTAGTTTGCCT